GGAATGAGGTGGGTCCTGTCAAAGAGAGCATTTGCTCGGCTGATGGAATTTATCTGACCTCAATTTAAACATCTATCGCTGTAAAATTGTCCGTACCGAAAATACCTATTCTAGCCATTATCAGTCGCGTTTGTAACCATATTTGTTGGATCACCAGGTCATGGCCAGCAACTCTGGAATATCTTATGCAACCTCAAATATCTGGAAAATTGGAAGTTACCCATTGCATCCACCCACGAATCCGTGACTGATCTGGAGGAGCCTTCCAGCTCCACAGAACGACGACCACATGCGGGAGCCGGTACTCGGTCACTCAGCCCACGGGGAGCAGAGCTCTGCAGGGCCTGTCCCAGCGCCGGCAGTGGACTCGCCTGCAGGAACTCGGTCACCACCGATGACGAGGGATGGCTTGGAAATAAGGAGTCCCGCATGAAAAAGAAGTTTTTTGGGTTTTTTTTTAATAAAAATAGTGAGATAAACTGCTAAGAAACAGCACAAGAAAGCAGGTTTGTTCATTTTTACGGTTGTACAGACCAGCCAGCAAGTCAAGAAGGGCCCAGTTTCATACTGGTATCACTGGGGGTTCTGTGAACACCCTTAGCAGGTGTTGGTTGATTTTTAAGCAAAGTCTCATGACAGTAAAAGTGCAGCTTTTTGTTATTTTAACAGCTTTTGGTATTGCTTGTTCAGTTCTTAATTTTTTGTCTGTTGTGGAGGAAAGTAAAACCAAAACTCCGGTACCAGTTTTGATTCTCAAACCTGCGCTTAATCCCTACACAGTGCTGGGTTATGTTTGTAAATACAGGATCTTCTTAACTTAATTCCAAAATGCAGCCGGTCCATGCAAATTCAGCTTCAGGTAGGGACTGAGGATCGATCAAATACAGAATAAAACCTGTGCCCCAATTTCTTGCGAGTTATATTGTGCCCTTGGGAGCTAGAGCTTATTTACAGGAATAAGAAGAATATCCACAGGTTATAATAAAACAAACAGGACTTTTGGAAGTCTTAGGGCCTGTAGAGTTGTAATTCTTCAGAAAGGATCTGCTTTCTCCCCAGGATCGAGCCAGGAGCAGCCCTGCCCCTTCCATCAGGCACAGGCAGGCGGATGTGACCCCAGGCAGATCTTCTGTGCCCCCCGGGCTGAAAGCGCGGGGTAGGAGGAGTGTGCTGCACGGAAAAGAAGTTTTTTGGGTCCCAAGTTCTGGGATGTATATGTATTGTACAGTTCTGAGGTGTATTCCCCATGTCTCCCAGCATGGATCCAACTCGCCGTGGGGGAGACGCATGACCGCCCGTCCTCTGTTCCTTCCCGCCGTGTTGTCAGTGCTGCAGCCGCTCTGCACTAACACCTCCAGGAGCAGGAGCGCGGAGGGGAGGGCTCTGGGGGCACCACTTTCTCATCCCCACAAGGTAGGAACACGTGTCTTTCCCGTTTTGCTTTACCTCGGCAACAGGTACTTGAATTTTATGTCCACACTCTGAAAAACAAGTCGCCTGGGTCCTGGAGCAGCAAGGCACTTTCATGTCATTAATTAGGACTCGTTAAAGCCAAGGGAACCGGAGAACACGCTCGAGCACTTGGCCAAATACGGCTCCTTTGCTGACCCATGGTCTCAGATAGTCCCCTTGAGAGTAGTGGAAAACGCAGGCAGGGTGAGCAGCTCACTGGGGCTTTGAGCTAGCTGCAGGCAAGCCAGGTAGGCAGTTCCAGGAAAACTTATTTGTAGAGACGTATGCGCCTACGGTCCCACTTCAGAGTGCAAGTGCGAAAAAGGTGACCGCGCAGTTTGCTCGTAACACGCAACCACGACACAAACATCGCCGCAAGGTATCACCTTGCTGCGGATCGCCTCAGACCCTCCACGGTCCCAGATCCTCCCCCTCCCCACAGCACGACACGTTTGCCCACAGGAAAGTGGAATGCCTGGAGATACCGCTCCTGTCCCATGCGGTATTTCATAGTCAATAGCTAGCGAGCCCTGGGGTATGAAGGAAGGAAAGGCTTGCTTTACACATCAAGGCCTAGAAATATTATAGAATCCCACTAAAGGCAATGGTTAATTGTCGGGTGCCAGTTGGAGTGATTACATCTGCCATCTCTCAGAGAAGCTGGAATGCTGTCACTCACTTTGAAATGGCTTGCCGCATTCATCAGTCTGGATGGCACGGAGAAGTTATAACCGTACAAGCCATATGGAGGATGTAAAGAACAATTAAGTGCTTCCCGAGCAACGGGACTTGATGGGAAAATGTTTCCAGATGCATGTAATCCATACAGCATTTGACTAGCAGGATTGGGTACTTGTAGACACTGCCCGTTTAAGTCTTCAGCTTTGGCATTTTTCAGATTTGTTATGCCGAGGGAAGATAGTTTTGGCATATCCACCATGAAGGGGGGTAGAAGATGCGGGTTGGTGCCTCCCAGTTTTTCGTGGCTTGGGAAGATGAGAGACTGTTGTCTCAAGAAGCTGGTAGGGCAAATCTTGTAGTAGAGGGGCAGGTTGAAGTTGTGTAGGTAGGTCTCGGGGCACGAAACGCCGATGTTACTCGCTGACAAGTGGAACGTAGGAGGGGAGCACGATGGAGAGAGCAGGGGGTTGAGGGGAGAGGGCGTCCCACCGCTGGAGGTCACCGGCGAAGAACTGGAGCTCCCACCTGAAAACAAAAACAGAAATCATCCAAGCTGGGCTAGCCGATGTTCCCAGGCAAGGAACCCTTGGAGGACACCTGCTCCCACTCCGCATCTACCTGCTGCCAGAGTCCATCCAAACACAAACCCACTCCAAAAAATCAGCTCCTGGAAAATGGGAAGATCTGTCCATAAATTATTTGCTGTTGCTCCGTGGTGCTTGTCTAAGAGAAGTGCTCATGTGAGTCTAACCCCATTCATTTTACCAGGACGGCTGTGAGGTTCAGCTCACACATACAGGTCCCTGCCGGGTCTGCGCCTCGCTATACGACCGACAACCTTCTCCTGTTATACGTACACTATTGCTATTTGAGTGTCCCTCTCTTTTGTGCAAAGTACAGGCAGCTTTTTCTCCTTGTATATAAGAACAAAAGAATGTATTCAGCCTGATGGAGAAATTTCTGTACCTTCCTGCTCACAGGAATTGACTAATTTTACTTGGCTTCCCATGCAATTCGAAACATACCCTCAAACACTAAAGGTGTCTGCAGAAACTTTAAATGCACGTGTCGTTATAACATTCGCCTTTCTGAAACGAATCAATGAACACTTTCATAATTCGGCAGAAAAGCGACACGGGCTGGCTTCGCGCGTGTGAGCGTGTAACACCCCTGCTCAGCACCAGCTCCTCCAGAGCAACATCAAGAGCCAAAGCGCCGAGGCAGCGGCTGCGCTGGAGTGGGACGGTGCTCTGGTGCTAAACAGATGCCGGTTTAACATAACGCCGTCTAAGAGCCGTATGGTTCTGCTGCACATTCATTACCACATTCTTCCAGAGGTTTGTTCTCCTCCCCCTTCATTTTCATCGCTTACCAAAGTCACGGGGAAAGGAAGGACGGGAATGTGGGCTCCATATCGTTCCCTATTTACAATTAATGTACTGTCCCGATGTGCTCTGGACAGACTTTACGTACAATCGGGAGCACAGAACCAGCTGTATAACCAAGCCATACCTGTTAGTTTACCAAACCTTTAAAAACCACACAGAGCTTGGACATGGTACAAATTAATTTTGCAACCCCCCAGCAAACAGAGTATCTTACAGGTCGGGCTATTAATCCGGGAACGTTTCATGCCTCAAACGTCTCACCCTTCACCGCCAATGTCAGTGGCTGTTTCAGTACTGACAGCAGCAGGGGTGGGTGCGGGCAGGGGTCTGGTCCTCTCCCGATGTGCGTGTCCTGATGTCCCCCCAGGACTCAGGGACTTCTGGTCATGTAAAATGACGGGACTGAGCTGACGATTT